CCACTTAACCTGCTCATCACAGGAAGCCACCAGTCCTTCTGTTGAACCACCATCACAGCCATGTTCTTCTACTCTTCTTCTTCCCGTTTAATGCATGCGACTTATTTCCTCCAGTCTTTGGTTAATGTTTGGTTAATTCAAACTTTAATTCACAAAGGGAGATTTAAATGTAATCTGGGTTATTTGCTGAAAATTAATACTGTACATCTCAAGAAACACCACTGAACATTAAAGGAACAAACCCCTGTTTTTTCTCCTCACTTTATCTGTTTTATTACAAATAATGTGTACATTATATTACTGCTAAATTCTTTCAAAACTAAAAAGACTTGCTTCAGTTCCCAAAGTTATGTAATACATCAGAATGAGCATCATGTCTGCTTTTGTTGTCAATGTTTTTTTGTGTTACTGTTGTGCAGACAGATAGCACTTTCTGCTGCATTACTGCAGACCGGGGGCGTGAATATAGACAGTGCACTGGGGCCCGTTAAGTGGGGGGACTCATAGAGGGAGTGGGCCCTCCATCAATGTGTTGGGTGGAGAGTGGGCCCTAATGAGTGTCTGCCACCTCAAAGAATGAACTCTAATTAAATTAAAAACAAGGTCATTTACTATATATGCAATTGAAAAAGGCAAACCCAACTCCATCATGTTTATTTTTTTCTTTGTTCGTAAAACAGTTAATAGCATCTATAACAAAATTATATGCTTATTCTATGACTGCAAATCAATTATTCTATAAATCAAACATTCTATAAATATAAATCTACCTTTAAAATCATTAAATTAAATTAATAATTTCGTATTTTCCTTGGTATTTTTGTTATATACAGATACACAGTGATGATTGCTGGGTAATATGTATGCTGATGTTATCCACTGTCAAGTCTCTGATCATGTGACGAGAAGATATGTGCACATTAGCGTGCACTAGGGCCCATCATAGCGACCTTAAGCCACTGCTACAGACCAATGAAAATGGTATGTTTTTGAAAGCTCCATTTGTAGGATCATACATAATACCAAGTGGACAACAATGCGGGATAACTTGCAGTATGAATGTAACCCCACGCCAATTAGTCAACTTTACATTTTAAGCTGACAGCCTTAACCTGCTACCAGCTGCTACATCCTTGTTACCTCCCCTCAAACTGTATCATTGTGCCTCTCCTCATGTTCTCCAAGCTGAATGCTCATCTGTTCCACAACTGGCTTTCTCAGCCACTGAGTCCTTTGAGCTTAAGCTGTCCCCTGAGCCAGCACTGTTGGATATGAAGCTTTCCTAAAGTCCCGCTGGTTTCTTACCACAGCGAGGAAGCCAAGGCAGCCACGCAGCTGGCCTGAATATTAAAGGCTTCACTCCACATAAAGTCCAGTTTAACAAATCGTTTGAACTAATAGTATCACATGCAATTTTTCTTGAAGCAAATCTGCTGTGGGGAGAGATCGCTCCACTTGTTTCAGATGCACTTATGCTTGCTTTGAGCGCACTCCTGGAAAAAATGAATAGTGGTCCAGTCTTCGGATCTGAAGCATTCACATTACTTAATCAAGCACTACATTATAAAAACACTCCATTACTGTACAATGGTATAAGTTAAAGTACACTATGTGAATTAAAATATTTTAGTTTAAGAAATATAAAAATATAATATTAAGTATAAATGGTATTAGTGGTAGTAATATATTAGGATTATTAGTGCATTAATATGTAAGCACAAAGTTGTTGCTGGTGGAGGTGGAGTTGATTTCAATTTCTTCATAAGCTGCTGGGTAATTTATACATCATATTTGTGTGTCAAGTCTTAACCTGAAATAACTAGTAACTACTGTTGCAAAATAAATTTAGTTAAGTAGAAGTGTAAAGTAGCTTAAAGGGACAGTTCACCCCCAAATCAAAAACACATATTTTTCCTTTTACCTGTAGCACTATTTATCAGTCTAGATTGTTCTAATGTGAGATGCTGAGTGTAGGAGATATCAGCTGTAGAAATGTCTGCCTTCTCTCAAATATAATAGAACTAGATGGCACTTGGCTTGTGGTGCTCAAAGTGCAAAAATCAAAGCAAAACAAAACATTAAAAAACTCAACAAGCTCAACCAAGTTACTCAAGGTAATCCACAGACGTCGTTGTGAACAGTTTCATGTAGGAACTCTTTTCTTTCTATTAAACCGTATCCACCACTGTGCAGAAGGCATCTACAGCTAGCTCACCTAGCACCACTGAGCTAACTAACTTACAGCTTTGCCAAGGGGTTGCCATTAATGTTTACACCTGAGCCTCTCATCCTTGAGTAGATGCACACTTCCATCTGCAAAGTGATATAGTGTGCAGGTGTAGTTTGGTAGAAAGAAAATAGTTCCAACATGAAACTGCTCACAACAAGGTCTTTTTTTTTTTGCACTTTGAGCACCACAAGCTGAGTGCCATCTAGTTCCATTATATTCAAGAGAAGGCAGATATCTCTATGGCTTATATGTCCAACACTCTGCAACTCACACCAAAACAATCTAGACTGATAAATACCCCTACAGGTAAAAAGACAAGTATGTATTTTTTATTTAGGAGGTGAAAAAATTCAAGTACATCAAACTTGTAATTGAGCAAATAAACATTTACTCATGTAACCAAACACATTTTGAAGTGATGCAAAAAAAGTTTCAAGAAACTCTGAGTTTTTTTCCCAGTTACAGCATAGTTTCACCCCATAGTGTGAGAGTTTCAATGCCATGTTAAAAGTGACACTTTTTGCAGTTTATGTTTCACTGGAGGACCAAAGCTACTTTCCCAGAAGGACAATGGTCAAATAAAACTTTGCTGGTAAACTTTGCCAAGAAAAAGCACTATCACTGCTGCATGAGTTTATACACTGATTGTAAATCATGTGATGAAATCTTGTCAAAATGTTTACTAAACTTCTTGGCAGCATGCTGCAAAGTGGCACAGTTAAAAATACCAAAAAAACAAAAAACAAAAAACAAAAAAAAAAAGGTTATAGCAGTTGCAGAAGGGTGTCAGCAACAGCCTACGATTCCCATAACCCTTTGCTAAGACATGCCCCCTGGGGAGGCCTCGGCTCATGTCCCACAGTTTTGTAATGTCACAAAGGATGAAGAGTGTTTCCCCAGGCGCCCAAACTTTTCTGCTTTGCTGTGTGGCATGCTGTTTCATCAGTGTCGTTTATGTGATTTTTCCTCTTGAGTAACTGCCTAGTTGTGGAGGTGGGTGAAGGTTGTCGTGAAAGGGAGCTCTCTTGGCCGGGCGCCAGAGTGTGTTGCTGGGTTTTGGGGCTGATGGGTGCTATGTGCTGCATGCCGGGTGTCATCTGTATGTGTGAGTGTGTGTGTGTGTATATGAGTGTGCGTGTGTGTCTCGTTTCTCCCGTGGGAATCCTTGGCAGCAGGTGTGACATGTAGTAATGGGAAATTATGCTGCACAGTGCAAAACCTCTTCTGAACGGGGTCACCCACTGTCAGCTCTGCCAAGCACGTAACAGAGCAACCACTCACCCTTTAATGAAAGCTGTCACATTTTTGTTAGGGACGTATTTATCGATGCATATTCATTCGGTTTTTCTGAATTTTCCAACTTAAAGGGAAGTCTCCAGAGATGTGTGGGGGTAGAGTTTCAGCTCATCACCAAAGGATTTTAATTACTTGGCAGCAAAAAAAGAATGTGCATACTGTTTGACTTTTTCCTCCTGTGCCCGGTTCAATAACTATGAAAGTGATCATTCATCAGAAAGCAACGTGCATATTTTTATAGTAATGAAAAGAAAACGATAACAACCTTTTTGGGGTGACTAAGCATTTTCCATCACATCCTGATTTAAACTTAACCTCCAGGAACACATCTGTTTTTACACCTGTATGTTGACTATTCCTGCTGTTTGCTTGTGCTCACCTCAGATTAAACTGAACGGGGAGAAGACAGCAACAAAAATACAAACAATGCAGCAAACATTTTACCCTCACGAACAGTTAGCATATGCATGAGCTCCGTAAATCTAATCTGAAGGGGTTGTCATATTCTGAAATGTGTAAAAATTTTAATCTTATTTCTCAACCAGCATGCTATTTTCTCTGAGGGTATAGAGCTATTAACTTCAGAGAGCCACATTCCAATTGTCAGCGCAGTATATGAATTCCATTTTAATATAATACATGTTTTTGGCAATAGCTTGTAAAACTCCAGTAAGTCTTATATTACCGCTTGCGTGGAATTACTTCGGTGAAATCACAATTCTGCGGGTCCATTCTGGAGGTTACTATGTGGTTTTTGGGGGGAAGTGGACTGTAGGAATGCTTAATCTCTGAACAAACATCAATGGAGAGATGTTAGACTGGCTTTACATGGCGCATTTAGAATGGACTTTCACTGTATAGTCATCCAATGAAAATCAAGATCTGTGTTTGAGAGTTCAGTCTAAATAGGCTTACATAAAGATGATGGAGAAAGCTTAAGTTTATCTTTTTTTAATCTATGCTCTTAGCGTTTGGAGTCAGTATTTTTAAATGTTAGACATTTTATTTGATGTCTACTAAATACTGAAATCCCTAGATCCGCATAATGACATAGATATGGCTTTATATGTTTTGGAGTTCATGATTTGTGGCCTCTGATATAGTGCTTAAGACTATTTGGAACCCAAAAATGCACATAAGGGCATCAGGCATCTGGGGTGCAGTACAAAAAACAGGAAGATGAAATTTGCATTCTCTTATTGGTTTGTTATGTATTATTATTGTTTGTCAAGTTGTTTTTATGTGTTTATTTCTCATCATGTTATTATTTTACTTTAGTTTTACATTTGTTTAGTTTATTTATTTATTTATTTTCGATGGGGGTAGGGTTGGGGGACAAGGGGAAGCTTGCCTAAGGCACCGAATGTGCTAAGTCCTGCACTGGTCACTGTAAAAATTGTTTAGATCTTTTTGTTACAAATGGTGGTTCATTGTGGAATATGCTTATCTCTCTGCTGTCTCCCTGATTCTCTAGGATGTGCCTTTCTAACATACTGTGCCAGAGAGTCAGCACTGAAGGCCCAGAGCGCCCTCCATGAACAGAAGACTCTGCCAGGGGTAAGTGCCCCCGATCTGCCCTCTGTCATAGGCTAAAGCCCCCGGGGCAGCCAGCCTGGCATGGGAACCTACATTAACATAGGGATTATATCACACTTGTGCACACACAAATGCGCACATGCCGAGGCACATGAGGACACAGTATACATTAAGGCACACATTCAGGCACACACACACAGAGACAGACACACACACAGATATGGAAACAGATGGAAAGAGTCACTCATACTTTCTCAGACTCCCTCACAGCTACTTTCTCTCGTTCGCTCTCACACACATTCTTTCATGCTCACTCACTGACACACACACACACATGCACACACACATACACACACACGCCGACATACTAAAAGAGTGTGAGTGGCCTATCTCACCTTGCAGTGTCTTATTACACTAATCACCCCGGCGGAGATATTTGATAAGCGCTCCTTCATAACAGCCTGTGCCGTCCTTCCCCTGTCCTCTCACAATATGGCTGCCGCAGACACTAATTGCCTTGAGGAATCCCGCTCTCATTATCACATATAATCAAACAGTAAGTATAAACAATCATTTTTACCATGTATATCACCATCTGGTGTTTTTGTTTTAATTCTCTCCCGTTTTTTTTTCCCTTTTTTTCCCCCGTCTTCTATCGTTTGCCTTTGGCGGGCGGGTAACTTTTTCAATTAAAATAATGGCCTCTTCAAACGACACAGGTAAAACGTACCCAGTAGTGGGCTCTTAAGCCCACCCAGGAGGAGACCCTCAATCTGGGATCAGCGTGAGCTTGTGGTGTCTATCTGTACTTGATGTGTGCGTGGGGGATTCGACTCTCACATCAGGGGAATTATCGAGGTGTGATTGAATTACGCCCGCGGGTCCCTAAGAACGAGAAGCTGCTCATAGTGCCCAGACTCCTCACTGCCCCCCCCCACCCCCATTTCCTTTCACCACAAACCAAGACACCCTCCCAGGTTGGGGCTTTAATCAGAGCCTCGGGATATCCATCTAAATCTCCAGGGAGGAAGAGAGGTACAGAGAGACAGAAGGAGATAGGAGGCATGAGACAGGAAGTAGGAGAGGAAGAAAGTATGGGTAGGGATTGGTTAAAAGGGGGGGTGTGGGGACAAAGGTGGTTGATGGACTTGTGGGGGCTGTATATTGTTCCTCACTGTTGGGTTAATCAGCTGTTTGCACTTCACTGCATTTCATAGGTACTACACTGAACGTTAGGCACACAGGTACACTGCAGCGAAAGAGCCCCTGGGAGACCAGACTCCCTGGCTCGTTACCGCCTCCCGCAGCTTCATAATGAGATGATTGTCATGATGGTCCTGGATAGGTGTTCCTGTCTTTATTGCCCTCACGGAGGGAGATTCTTGTTTGTCTTTATCTGGAAAGAGGTTAATGGCATGTTCTGTGGGGTTTGGGTAAACATTTCCTCTGTACAGCTCACAGCGAGGGGTCAGTCCTGCAATCTCGGGCTGAGCACAGACTGCATACAGAGGGCTAATAAAGATGTTCTGTCTTACTGTGTGTGTGTGGGGGGGTGGAGGGGGGTGTTGATGCGTGTATGAAACAGGCCGAGAGAGAGTGAAAGAGAGAAAACAAGAAGAGTTGGAGGGAGACAGAGACAGACAAAGACCGAGAGAGGTGACACTTCTGGACAAGCCTCATTGTCATTGTCATGGCCTGATGCTTTGAGGTGCTCTGTCGTATAATGCTGCCCTTTCATTGGCTTCTCCACACAGGGTTGCAGACATGATTGTGCGGTCCGATTGTGGCGGTGTGACTGTCAGGCAACCTAAATGCAAATTTTGTTCCAATGAGACATCTGGTATTTAATAAAAATACCAAGTCTTTTCCTCTCAAGATGATACATGAAACAAAATTAAAATAAAATGTTGGACGAACAAAATAATACAAACACTGTCTTAGAAATGTATTTGACGGCAGGTAAATCACATTCGCAGTAGCGGCGGCACAGTTATGTCATATGAGGTTAAATGCAAATTGGAGTATGTGTTAGCTTTAAAAGAGCTCTGGCAGTCTCAGCCTATTTCATCATGTTTATCCAGCATGAAGTCCCTGTATGGCCCCCTCACTTAGACCTAAAAGTCAATGTACTTTTCCACAAAGCTCTGGAGCAAAGAGAACGCTGGATTTCACTCATTTAACTTCTGCGTTTGATCCAGACTATAACACTTTGCAAAGGTTTCTTCAAATAGAGCCGGCAGACGTGGCTGCCGCTTGAAAACATACCAACGGGGAAAATCAAGGGGATGAGGAAGAGTGTGCATATGAGTTTGATGAACGGTTGTCTCAGTGGCCATTCAGCTTTGGTCTGCGACAGACAAAGCCAGAGCATTGTGAGCATGTCCTGCTTCATTCTCCTTCTGACATCTATCAAAAAGAAAGTACTTTCTACTGGGCAGAGTGCAGAGGTGATAAGAGCATCCCAATTCTTGTCCCATGTCTTCATTTTTGTTGTCTGTCCGCCACAGTAGAGTCTGGTGCAGCTTGGTTGGTTTAGAGACAGAGACATCAGGACCAAGTTATAGTACTGTGATAATGTCTAAAGTATTATTTACCCCAAAAAAATAAGGTCTGCATACAGAAAAGGCTTCCGGTCTTGGCTTAAGCGGTTTGAGTCTTTGGACAGGTGGCCTATATTTCATCTATAAGAGCACGTCACACACTGAGCGAGCCGCCTGTTAATGATGTTGTTGGCAAAGTAGTAATGATTGTGCTAAGTGGCTAATGGGCATGTAGCTACTTCCATGTTTCAGATGATACGTCATGTTTGTAGTCGATGAATGAAGATGAGTTTACATATCACCTTGGGTTCGTCCTTCACCTTCTCAAAATGATCCCACACTTTGAAATTCCTGTCCAACATGTTATTAACTAGCATGTGAAATAACCGCAGGTACCAGCCCTGGAAATGAACGTGTCTGTCCTTTCAAATTAAATTCCCACATGGTCCTGTCATATAGGTTTTAATTTATTTTGACAAGGCGCAGCTCCTAATAAAATTGAACTTTTTTGTTTTTTATTTTTTTATTTTGTTTTCTCTGCGACTAAGCGACCAATGAAATCTTGCCGACTAATGACCTTTCTGGTTGACTAACGTTTGTTGTAGAGTGGTTTTCTCGTACTTTGGTGAAAACAGCCAACTGGCCAACTCATGAGTGCTGATCAATGGACCATTGTTAATATTAGCTATCATAGCTTAGTTGCCTGCAGTTAATTAGCCTCACATTCATTCAGCAACCAACAAGGCACACAAGAACTCACCCAATATTTCCAGTGGCCTTGTACACTTGTACCTGAGCAAATGGCAAATAACAGCCTTAAATCTTAAACAGTTGTGCTTATAGGTGTATTCAGCTAATGTTAACATTCTTATTGTGTTAAATTTGTCAGATAGCGCCTAAGAGGTCTGAGTAAAGTAATCTGTTGCCCTGCATGTGCAGACAGTAGATGCTTTCAATTATTTTATATTCATAAAGTATACAGTATAGATGTGTTTGCTAGATGTATCCCCAGATCCTCCGCTCCCCCAGCTTAATGGCTGCGGCCTTGCACTGTACATTTTGTCCACGACCAGTGATAGAATAAAACAGTATGTTTCTTTCTGTGGTTGCTAAAAAGCAGCTAGCATAGCAGATCTAGGCAGCTAGTTAGCACAACCAATATAGAAATTTACTACTAATAATAAATTACTAGTTAATTTCTCTTTTAGTGTGGCCACTTGCATAAAGATGTCAATTACAATTAGCTAATGAAACATTCCTAAAGGCTTACATTTTTTATACTGTGCTTATTGATGATGCCTTGAAAAATGTAGCATTACATGTTTAAGCAACACATTCTTACTCAAGTTCATGATCAGATCATAAGTATCTCAGTCAGAATGCTGTATTTCCTCTTCTGCATCCCTCATGTAATACTTTCATTGTTTCAAAGCGCCACTTTCCCTGCACAGTGCGGATATTTTCATATTAACACATTGTGTGCATTTCACAAAAGGAGGAGACTAAAGGCTTAACAGAGCGACAGAGTGGAGGCAGATATATTTACGTGTGTGGTCTCAGCAGGAAGCTTACCAGTCTTACATCATCTCCAGATTGGCTGTGAATCCTAAATTTTCCATCACATTCCCTTATTTACCAAGTCTTGTACGGTGGTGCGTGCTGCCTGTGAATTGCCACCAGAGGATCCAGCTCTGTCTGTTGTGGCTGAGGCGAGCTGTGTTTACATTGTTTGATTAATTGCATGTAAAGAGCATAATGAGCTCTTGATGTCCTGTGCATCCGATCCTGCTGCTACAGTTTGTACAGTAAATGTAATCAGAGATTCAGCCTCTTGCCCTTGGGGAGCTCATAGTGCTGTTGTGTTTATGTGCGCATTCAGCATATCCCCCGATGTAGGGCAGCGTGGCACTGTGTGTGGACAGGTTAGGTCATGCCTGTGAATGATTTCTTAGCGGATCTGATTAACTCCTAGGATGTTCACACACTGACTTGAACCAAATATCAACATGCATTATCATTTCCTTTATACATCAAGACAATTTGTGTCACTACAGGTAAGTTGTTTATCTAGAAACTTTAATGCAATCATGATACTTTTCTTGTAACACCATAAAAACAGCAAGAAAGTATACATAAAATTTGCAATAGCAAAGCATTGAGATGTTTAATACAACTAGTTGCCAAATAGCCCCGCAACATGCTGCTATTGAAGCAGCAAACCTTCAAATGAATCCTGCTCTGTCCTTTCAGGGCCACGCCGCTTTCTCCTCTCAGGCCAATTAGCTCGTGGTGTTCGCATGTAACAAGCATGCTAATTGGGTGCTACTGAAACCCAAAAGCCAATTAAAATTTTCTAGGAAAAAAGATCCAGCTTCTCTTTGTCTCCCATTCACTCGTGCTCTCTTCCTACCCTCCCCCAAGCCTTCTCCTGCCTAGTCACATTTCTACCACTTTAATTCCCCCACTTTTTTCCACCCTTTA